TGTCATGACCTCTCAGTATGAAACAAGCGGCAAAATTCACATTTACTCATTCAAAGAGTAGAACCCAGAATATAATATACCCACCAGAGAAAACAATTTTTGGAACAAGCAGCATTTTGGCACGAGGTAAAAGTCGTGTGTTGCCTACCAGCCCGCTTTTTACACTCTGTTAGATAGTTCGAGCTTTTTGGCGGGATCACGGCTCTTTTGGCGCGTGTTGTAAATGCCCTTTGAATAATATTTGTGCGTTATTGTATAGTCATCGAGGATATACACAATACCAAAGGCAAGTAAATATTTTCCTCAGTTTGCTTTTTCCTGGAACCACGATTTCAGTGTCGTCAACCCGGTTTTACCGATGTGCTCGAACTCCGCATGCGAGAGCCATAACAAGCTGCTCCTCTACCGTTTAAATAGTAAAGTTCTCTCTTACCTTATATCAGCGAACACAGTTTCTGTTCTTGGCACATAATGCGAAATAACATCCAGAACTTTTCACGTTGAACTTTTGAAACCATTTCGGCGACAATATGTAACTTACCAGGTAACGTACTGAACATTACTTTGGAGGGTTCGAATTCGACCTTCATAAAGCGCTAGATTTTGCCTTTCGCTTAAGTAACGAAAAAAATATTTTTTTTTTCCAAGACTTTGCAACAAGACCCTTTTTTAACACCAACCATGAATTCAATTATTTTCATCAAGCGATTTTGACGAGAACCGTAGCTGAGTTAAAATATCTCGCTCCGATGGTATAAATTCGGGGCGCAGAATACAAGCTCTAATATTTGACGCAAAAATTTGTGTCCTGTCCTAAAAGGAGTTTATTGACAGATGAACTGACAAAAAGCCTTGTAGTTACTTGAGTCCAGTTTGTGGGTATCTCCATGGAAATTAAGGATCCCTGGTGGGTGCACGAAAATCGACCTTGCAGCTCGTAATGACTTTCTCTTTTTCTCTGTCTTTCTCTTGCTCTATACTATAGAGCAAGAGAAAGACAGAGAAAAAGAGAAAGTAGGCGGCAGGCAAGCGAAGCTTAACGAGAAAAATAGCGACAGAGATCTAGGGCGAGAGATAAAAAAAGGAGGCATTTCTTTGTTGGAAGAACAACAAGAAAATTTTGTAGCGGCGGTGAAAAAAAATGAGAAATGCTAACGGCCACCAATGCAAGGTGAAAATGAGCGGCAGTGAGAAAAAAGTGAACGAGAACACGTACGACATTTCCTCCAAAAAACGTGTAACTAAGAAGTTCCTGGAAGTTTCACGTTGTAGTAGTGCAAAACAACGGCAAAGAAAAGTACAAAAAAAGTGTGCTGCAGGTGCAAAGTTGCTTTTTTGCTAAATAGACCTATTGTTGTTTTTCACCGTTCTCCGGCGTTGCCTTCGCCGCTTAGCATTCCAGGATTCTTTTTTTTTGTTTGAACAAACTTGAAATATTATCGAGAGGCTTTGCTTTTAACCCTGGCTAAATCTGTATATTAGTTTAGTTGAGAAAGTGATCGGCAAGGGGATAAATTCTATCATCTCTGTCTGAACTCGGGTGCCGTCCCCTCTCTTCATCTCCAAATATTCCCGTTTTTCAAGTATTTAAAGTAACATGGCGAATTGGGATAATGGCGAAAAAGTTTAAAAGGATGCCAAGTCTATTTTTCAGCGACGTGTTCATGGACATTGCCGTTGTCGTATCGTAAGGTCCCTAATCTTGTAAAGTAACTGCTACAATTTGCTGGTTTTAAACTAACGGCAGGCATGTTTTTTGAAAAGAACAATAACGTTTTTCTCCGCTGGAAACTTAAAATCTTTTATCTTGTAAATTCTGCGAAACAATTCTTATGGCCGTCTTGTTACGTGGTTGAAAACCATCAATACCAGTCATTTAAATTTGCACGTAGCCTGAGAAAACATCCGTTTCTCCTCGCTCTTCGCCGCCGGGGACATTTCGCGAGGAGGAACGTCTGCGACTCAGCGGCAGAAATCCTATACTGATGATGCAATCCAATGTTTACATAATAAATCCAGTAGTCATGGGGTTCCAAATACAAATTTGTCCAATTTTACGTGTCTTGTGGTCGATTTTGGTAAAGTGTTGTGTTCATCTGCCAACGAGCTCCAGCAAAACTCAAATGCTTCTTCTAGAGAAGACTATATTCCACAAATATTGACTGTTTTGTTAGAGATTCTTTGCGTTTACATTTGAACTTTGTGGCCTTCTGTCTTTTGTCTGTCATTCGTAAACGATAGCTAAAACAATGCAACTACTCCGTCGACCAATCAACGTTTCTTGAGCCGAACCTAAGAACGACCCAAATTATTTAGACCGGCTAAATTGATTCAGACACCGATCTTAATTGCAGTTGAACTAAATTCAAAAGGCGAAAAATGAAAAATTTCCGTCAAACTGCTTACAAAATACGTTATAATAATTTATGCTTTAGTTTCCGTACATGAAAAGTTCGGGGTCTGAATCAAAGCCGTTCTAAAGTCGCTCCAAAGGAGAAATTCCTGGCCAGGCTAGGCGAAAAGAACGGCTGAGCCGTTCCAAATTGAAAAAGGCGTTCCTAATTGATTCAGACGCCGAACTTTTCATGTACTTCAGGTTCGGCTCACGAAACGTTCGGCGTCTTAGTACTGTGAATGAACCGCACAACCATTTAAAAGGGCACTGTGTGTTGAACCAAAAAGTAACACCAACAAAAAGACAACAAATACTAGAATTGAATAATGAGCAATTCTTTCCTCGTAATTATCACAAATAAAGGTAATTCGATGGTTACATTATAAACTACTGTGTATTAGCAAGCCCTTTCAATTGAAAAAATTTTACACTTATGTCATTAAATAAAGGAATCGTCACTGAATTAACAAAGCCTTAACGGAAAACTGCATTGAATCATACACGGCGAGACTTCAAAATTGCAGTTACAACTAGCAATGTAAAAAGTATTTAACATCTTTTCAAAAAGATACATGTACAACGATAAAATCATCATTTACACTCTATTTCTAGCTACAAAAATGCATTTAAAGTACGAATACAATGCCTTCTTAGGTCGATCATCTACAGTGAAATCCTAACATAACGGAGTACCTAAAGAATGGGAAAAATGTGTTCATTTCAATTGCATGGAGTAGGGTATTGTGGTCCTTTCCACCAATCCATAGTAACTGGGGTAGAGGTTATCGTTCATTATACTACTATTCTACTGTACATCTGTTTACCATTAGTGAAATTCTATCAGTAATCAAGTAAAAAGTACGGCGTACTCTAATTGACTGGCGTACCCTTGATCAGTTCACAGATAGCGAGTGAAAATGACCTGGGTCTTTTACCAATAATAACACTTAACTCACCCGAGAAAGCTGTTATATTTGCCACACAATGATAGTAGAATTTTACCAAAAACGATTATAAGACTCTCACTTTCATAGTTAACTCGCGGCTTCACCCTCCGTTATCTGCCGACAGAAATCGTGAGTGATGTCGGCTGGGTTTTCAATAAGAAAAGGCCGATTATCCCCTCCTTACCCGGGAAAAAAAAATTAACCTAACGCCTTTGACCTTACAGCCATTGTCCTCTCTTCATGAGGTTTCATTGTTGCATGTTTTCGCTGAACGGTGTTAGAACTATACTTTTAATTGCCACCCTATAAACTACAAACTATGATAATTACTAATATGTACTCATGCTATTAACGAAAACACATAATCGTAACAACAACCTGATCAAACAGCTGGACTACTTGCTAACTAAGAAATGAATATATCACAACGTTTGAAACAAAATCAACTTTTTTGAGAAATTTTTGCGCAATGAACCATCGACCTACTAATGAGGCCCAAAATAAAATAAAATGAAAGACTTTAGACAGTCCCCGACTGAGCTTACCAAATTGTGAAATGACAGAAAAAGGAAAATAAAAACTGATACTGGTGTCGGGTTTCTGCATCAGAAGACTCGCACCATCAATGACATGCCTCAATTCAAGAGTTCTACTAGTCTAGCCTGCACCAAAGACGGAACTAAACGTTTGGTTAAGTCCGTCTGCGACAAAGCACCGAAATCCGTGTTCTGGGCCCACATAATTGGGTAAGCGCCATGATTGGCCTGTTAAAAATGCCATTGCTCATTGGCCAGTTAGGACGAGCGGAAATGCAAAACGCATTTCCGGTAATTCGTTAACTCCGCTGGGGCCCAAAACAAGGATGTCGGCGCTGCTTCGCAGATGTTACTAAGCAAGGCAAGATTATGTTCTCGACGTAGAGTATAGAAGTCAAACCTGCAAACTGTGCGAAGAAAACATAATGTTCTCGGAATTCTATCAATCCTATTTCTACGGTCAAGACAGTGCAACACTGCTTCAACTGAATTACAAGAGCTATGCCACGCACGCAACTTCGCCAACGCCAATTTGAATTAAAGCAAATACAAGACGAGGCAGGAATGAACAAAAGTAAAGATAACAATTCTGATTGAAATTAGGCCTTATTAGGGTTTACAAAAAGTTCATCTCTGTTGATTGCAAATTTGAGTTACTCGTTTGTCACAAAGCTGTAATTTTGCCATTTAGAGTTGCAAAAGTTGTGGCAGGTATCTGGGAAAACTTAGCCTGCGTGGCAAGAAACGGTTATTTATTTAACTATTCATTTAATTTTTAGTTAAATTAAGAACAAAATGCACTAAACTGTTGTCGTATAGACCCAACTCTACCGAGGCCACCAACATTTGAAATTCAAAGACCTGTTCTCGTTTTTGGTTGGCTAACAAACTATTAGCTATGACTGGTCCATTTAATGCTGAGTGACCCCTATTGAATTCACTAGTGTAAGGCAACACGAGCTTACGCGGCTGATACAATCAGAAAGACGAAAGGAGACATGTCAACATCTATTCTCCTACACAGCCTTTAGTTGTCTCGTCACGCACCGCTCCTCTCGGAAGAAGCGTGTTGCATGACAAAACAGATAATAGCTACATAGGAGAGAAGTCAAACAAAAGAACCTAACACCACAACTCGAAGCCGCCACCTTCACCCTGTCGTTTTTCTGTTGACACCTCACTATACTCTGTGCTGTACCTCGGCGGCGGAGTTTTATTGGATGGCTTATCATGAGATAATTCCGCATAGTTGATTGGTGGTGGATGGTCATCCTGTGGGAAAATAAGAGCATACAGAGGATTAACAGAGGTTACGTATCTCCTTTACGGTACGAGATGGCCGTTAAATTGCTAAAATTTCCGTCATTCATCTTCGCGATGGAATAATAATAATAATAATGATAATAATAATAATAATAATAATAATAATAATAATAATAATAATAATAATAATAATAATAATAATAATAATAATAATAATAATAATAATAATAATAATAATAATAATAATAATAACTGATTGGCCTCTATCAGAGTTAAGAGATGTGGACAGAGCAGCTCGGAAGATCATAGTTGAGAATGGTGGCAAGCACCCAGCTAGCCTAACTTCTTTGTTATATCTATCGAGGGAGAAAGGGGGTAGAGGCATGCGATCAGTAGAACACGAGTACAAGACCACTAAAATCAAATCGCTACTGAAATTGTATCAGAATTCGGACCAGACTGTTGAAGCAGTTAGAGAATTTGAAGAACACGCCATGGCATCAGGCCACCAGTCGCTTATAAAGGAAGCAGCTAAGTACGCTGAAGAACTCAACATCACACTTCAGCTTGATACCCTAAATCCCGTGTGTATTACAACAGAAGGAAAGGTGGTGACTGCAGCAAGAGCTGGGAATCTGTTGAAGCAATCTCAAGAGAAGCAGTTCTTGGAGATCGCTAAAGACAAAAGGTGGCAAGGAAAGTTATTCCGTATCAGATGGCAAGATGAGAGCCTAAGCATAACCAGCTGCTTTGCATGGTTAAAAGGTTGAGCTACATGTCCTACATGTACCATCGCGGGCATGTATAAACTGTATGAGCAGTTGTTACCTACGAAGCTCTACACAAAGGACAAGACCCAAACCTCCACCGACGGCGAAGTCCTATGCAGGTTATGTGGGAGGGTAGCTCAGAGCGTTGCACATGTATTGGCTGGATGTTCCTCCCTGGCACAAACCAAGTACCTATAAAGGCATAATGCAGCTTTGAAGATTCTGGTTTTTGAGCTCCGGCGAGAGCATGGGTTAATAGAAGAGGTTCGACCATGGTACTCACCGGTGATGCCAAAACCAGCCTACCAGAACACCACGAGCGAGGCGTTTTGGGATATTCCCATCTATGCAGAGCACAACGAAGCTAGAGCAAATCGGATCGACGCGCGACTTGTCAGCCACGAGCGGAAAGAAGTTTGCACAATTGAAATGAGCTGCCCATGGAGAGTAGCGCTAAGAAAGATGAGGAAAAGACACTCAAGTATGGGTCCATGATGTGGGAGCTGAAGCAGAGGTACATTGGTTACAGGGTTGAACAGTACAACGTACCTAGAGAGGTCGGTGAGGAAGCTACTAGGAGCGAGAGCACGGAGCGCACTTGAGCGGGAGCAGAAGTCGGTCATCTCAAACACTTTGAACATTGCCAGAACATTTAAGATGAATACTTAGTTAGGGCGCTAAGGACTACAGTTTTTAGAATTTTTTTTCTCTAGAAATCCAGAAACACAAGTTTGCTGATGTTTTTACTTAGATTTTTTAGAGCATTAGAGTTTGATATTATTCTAAAGAGGCTTTTAGTAGAGATAACCACATTATGATGGCCTCGTTTAGGTATATAAGAGAGAATGAGAGTATCAAAACTGAATAATTTTCTAAATAGTTTAATAGGCTTCTAGTAGAGAGAATTATATCATCATGTCTTTGCGTAGGTTTTACAGAGTATAAGAATTTAATAATATTCTAAATTGGCATTTTAAGTAGGGAGATTCATATTATTATGTATATTATGATCGTATTAGGTTTCGTACCGACCTTTTTTTACTTCTAAGTATAGCTTCTCAAGTGGTGTAGGTTACGTTATGCGCCCTATACTACTCATAATGTGGACAGCACTCCAAAGTTTTATACTGCGAGATAATAATAATGGACACTGGGGTAGGACAGGTTGGTGCCTCAGCCTACCACGGGAAATTGGACGCTCTCGCCCACCAGAGTCTGGGGTGGCACCTTTGGCAAGTGCCCGTAACCCCTAGCCACCTTCGTTGGGGTAACAACACAGGGTAGGGGTGACCCTTCAGTCTTGGTCGACAGCCCTTCTAGAGAAAGTGTCTCGATAAAAACACAGGTGCGGAAGATGAATGAATGGGAACGGAACCGGGGAAACTGGTGAAGCTGCCTCGCCCGGCAAGTCCCACTGTAGGGCAGGATGGGCCCGGTCGTCATCCAGCTACTGCCAGAATGAAATGGAGTAGAGATATGAACATTACTGTAATGGAGTGCTACTATCTGAGTAAACCAGTTGATGAAAGTGGCAGACCAGTCATAGGATATAGACAGAGAATGCATGCTATCTGGAAGGAAAGAGGTTTACCAAAGAAAACGGAGCAGAGACTATGTGATCAGGCTAGGGCGATCAGAAAGAATGCGTAGTTTACTTCCTTCGAGTTGGATGAAATCAGGAGAAGAATGACTTAAGAAGATAAAGAATTAGAGTAACAGGATGCCGCGTGTATAGACACAGAACCTGAACAGGTCGATGAACTAAATGGAGATGTCAATGTGCAGATTACAGACAATGGAACGGGAAATGATGAGGAGAGGCAAATGATAAACGACATATTGGAAATTATGAGAAGCGGACAGGTGTGGAATGGTGTTGGTTTTAAGAGAGTTGACAGGAAAGTGCTGGCAGAATGGACGAAGAAGGTGAATAGATTAGTGTCAGAGATACAAACTACCATGAATATCACTGACACCAATAAATTGATTAATGCTACTGCGATTTACATAGCAAGACAAGTTGGGCTCAAAATGGGTGGTTGCGAGGGAAAAGGAAGCAAAGAACCTCGGTGGAAAAGGAGAATCAAAGACTATTGCAGAGTTACGGAGGCACGTCAACATCCTGGAAAGATCTAAACAAAGGAAACTTGAAAGGAAGGAAAAGTACACCAAGTTGGAGAGGAAGTATAACATCAAACAGAAAGGAGAAAAGGTTAGAATTGAAGAACTCAAGCAAAGACTGCAGGCTAACTCTGTAAAGTTGAAAAGGTATGAACAGAGGATTCATTGATATCAAGTAAACAGATTGTTCCAGCAAGACCAAACAGGGTATATCAACAAATGAATGAAACATCTAGTAGCTTCAGCGAAGTTAGACCTGATGCTGAAGAAAGCCAACAGTTTTGGAGAGACATATGGGGCAAGGAAGTTTTACACAATGAAAATGCAGAATGGTTTAAAGAGTTGAAAAAGGAAAGAGTAGAAGCTAGACAGGAGGACATTGTAATTGTAAACAGCTTTGTGCAGAATATGCGGAAGGGAGAAACGGTGGCCCATGTGGTGATTGAGTACGGTAGGCTGGAGCAGACAAGAATATAAAGGAAGGTATAATAACGTGGCGCGGTATATCCACAGGCAACTTTAGGGGAAAGGTGGATTGGAAAGAGCTAATAGCTGGTATGAACAGAAGCCGGAGGGAGTGGTGGAAAGTGAAAACTTGAAGATACTGTCGGATTTCATAGTCCAGTGTGATCGGAAACTTGAGGCAGGAGAGAGAGGTTGTCATAATTGATGTTGCCATCGAAGGTGATGACAGGGTGAAAGATAAGGAACTTGAGAAGTTAGAGAAATACTAACTTTTGAAAGATGAAATTGCAGAAGTCTGGCGCATGCGAAAAGTCATTGTAGCGCCTGTTGTTATTGGGGCCCTTGGAGCCGTATAAGTCAACTTTAAGGAGTACATGAAGCGAATCGGCGTGAACGTGACGTTGGAAGTTATCCAGAAAACAGCATTTCTGGGGACAGCAAAGATACTAAGGAAAGTACTGTCCCTGTAAGAAGAAGGAAAAGAGAGACCTGGGGCCCGTGGTAACTTGTTGTCACCCACTCCCAAGGACTATAAACCAGGCCGAACATCCCGCCTGAGTCTACAAGGAATGGACATCATCATCATCACCGTCATCGTCATCGTCATCATCATCATCATCATCATCATAACGGCAAGGTGGTCACCAGGTAGTCTGCCTTTTGCAGTGTAATTGACGGAACCATACCTCAAGAACAGCCGGGCCTGGTTTTTCAATGCCGGGTTAAGATAACCCAGGGACAAAGCGAAATTTGAATTCAAATATGAAGGTTGAAAAAGGAAATTATTTAGTGTATTCATTTTGTGTACAATTTGATGACTGGATGCTCTAAAAAAAATACAGAACCGAGAAAAAGCTTTTCAAGAAGAAGACGAAGAAAACAGAAAAGCAATAAACAAGTATTTGTGAAAAAGGGTACATACGCCACACGTACGCAGTTTTTAGAAGAATAAAGAAATCTGCCATATAGGCCATTATAACCATTTTGCATGTTCTAATATTATTTAGCACAAATTAACCAGGGAAAATATGTTAGAATTATTATTTGGTATTAGCACAATTCTCCTAAGTTCTCCTTAATAAATTAGCCATTATTAATTGATCGTTTTCATAAAAAGTATATTAAAAACCCTAAAAAAACATTAGGGACAGCCAAGTTATTCAACTACACGAAGTAACAGAATTTTCAGACTCAGTATGCCGAGAGAATAGTAGATTAGAACACTCTTGACAAGTTACCATTAACAGATAAATACCTGTCTCCTAGGGGCATTAGCTGGAGCATACATTCTGGCTTCAACATAGGCAGGACTAGCCGTACCAAGGCCTGACGCAGGAGGCTGTTTGTTCCTACATGTATATAAAATATGATAATTATATAATTTTGATATAAGATATGATGCGCAGTGATGATAGCCTGCTACTGTGATGATAACTATAAATAAAGAAGACTGCGAGCAGTCTCCTATTTTTCTTCCCAAAGTTACTCCATGCGTAGCCCATACAGTGCACGCGAGCGGCGAGGCCGTGAGAAGCGATAAACGAAGGCGTAAGCCCGAGAAGAAAAAATAAGAGACTGATGGCTCTTTTGTTTTGTCTGGAGAGAACGAAGCTGTCAAGATAATTTCATTAATCAATTAATTTGAGCTGATTTATAAATAGAACATAAATATAAACGTCTTTTAATGGGGATGTCTCCTCCTAATTCCTTATTGAAACGTCACCGTTATTTGCAATCGTGCTGGCTGTGAGAAGAACTGGAAGGACGTTAAGAGAAAAGGCAGACTGCAAGGAGTCTACACATTGAAAAAGGGGCAAACTCATACTATTTGCTATCACTTTAAAACTTAAATGTGCCTTGGCATCAATTGAATTCTAAAAAAAAAATAAAAATCTTGGACTGTATAAATATAGGCATTAAAAGTATTCCTGTCGTCTGTTGCTATGGATGGCAACGATGGACAATGGACTTGGATTACAACTTGAAAAACTCGACCAAAAACAGCAAAATTCTTGTGACAAAGCCTCTTTAGTGGATTCTTCTGAGTCTATTATGAATAGATATCGAAGTCGAGATCTTTCCATAAAAGGCGACGATGAATCCGAAGAAATAAACCACCGACCAATCGTGCTCGCCTGTTGAATCCTCATTTAAAAAAACACTTTGAAAGGGAATTGTATAATAGGCTTGCTAAAAGGGGAGATTTTCTAATCATTTAAATCCTTTTCAGGATGAGACATCATTTCATCACTCCAAAATGAGTTCCGTCGGAACCAGTGAAGAAAAATTACATGTACCTTCACATAGTTAATCAATATGGAAAGTTTATTACAGGGTTCTACTGGGTGATTCAGATACACAATCACTTACATGCGATATCCATCTGCTTCCGAGTACATTGGCCTGTCTGTTAAAAGAAAAATAATAGTTTAGGAAATACACTTTTTACTTGGCCATTCAAATTAGTAACCTTAGAAGCTGAGTCGACGTCAACAACATTGAACTGAGGTGTCGAACTGTATTAGGAGACTTTATTGGGAGACACATTTTTTACCCAGCGTGCATCACAATTTTAAAAAGGCGCCACCTCCTCCCCTCCCCCCAGGAAAAAAATCCCGTAGTGCAATTTGCGTTTTGAGAGATTGAAAAACATTACTTGTAGATGTATCAATTTTCTTCCCATTTTCTTCGGGAATCAGTGTTTTTTTTGTAACCTTCTCTCTACAAACCTAGGATACGTACCCTTTCTTGCGCTCCCCTTTCTCTTTTTAAGGCAGCACCATATGAGGAGGAAGACAACAATAAGAACAACTGCAATGCATGCTCCTATGATTCCCCACATTTCAGCATCTGAAAGCCCTGATGAACCACGTGCACCTACATCAGGTCCTCCTGGTGTCCCAGATGTTGTTTCTGTTGTGGGTGTTGTAGTTGGGATGGCTAAAAATAACAAGAAAATGAATCAGGAAGGTATTAAAGTGGATCTGATCTTAACAGTTGCATGAACAATACAGTATGAAAAGTATGTAAAAGTAACAACTTGATAGCAATGATGGACAACCATATACCGCAATTCACAGGACTCAAGGAAATTAAAAAATATAGGAATTTTATAAGCTACCAATGTTTTACAGTTATTATAATTCACTCAGATAATTTTTCTCTCAAAGGTACTGTTTTTTTATAATGATTCGGAGAAACAAACATGGAAAAACTAACGTGATAATAGGGACCTTAAGATACCCTGGACGCGGCCTAGGAGGACGGCAACCGGAAGTAAATTCGCAAGGTCTTGAATTTAATTTGCATAAATGTCACGCCACTCGACGGCCTCCACGTCAGTTGCGGCGGCGACTAAGTTCATTTTGGCGGCCTCTCAGAAAGGTGAGTTAGTTTTGCAACTTTTTCGCTTTAGAAAAACATGATTTGCCCAACATTTGTAAACCTTTATATAAGGAATAGATTCCTAAATTGTTTGGTTCAATTTTGTTTTCATAATTCAGGTTTTAGCGTGTTTATAGAGGGAAAGTTGAGCATCGAGTCTTCAGAAAGGAATCCGAAAAGCAGGTAAATTTCCAAGTACCAGAGTATTGCTTTATTTCTTATTTTCAACTTGATTTTTATCCTGTGAGACTAATCAGCGGCAGGCTAGGACCGCTCTAGAAAATGATTTTGCATTATTTGTAAAAACAAAACACACACATTTTGTGGATTTTATACTCATCATCTTTTTCAACTCGTGTTTTGAATACCACCTAAAAATGGCGCCAAAGGCTTGATTGAAATTCTACTTTTCTTCCTTTAGTGTGGTAATGGAATGGACAAACAACCACGACCTTGCTCTTGCTCGGGAGGTTTTGTTATTGGAACCTTTTCGTCTAAAGGCGAGGACAGTTGAAAGAGGAAAAGTGTGGCAGACAATAGCGGACAACCTGAATTCGCACGCTACATTGAGGTTTCTTGTCACAAAGAAATCGGTGAGGGAGCATCTTAAGCTTTTACT